TTGAATCTGATTATATTTGAGGAGGGGGGTGTATAGGGGTATGCAAATCCCCCAACCTGTGCCTTTTTTCCGCGAAATCCGTCGATCCACCAATATTTTTATTCAAATCCAAAACCACAATCACATCCGGAAACAGAAGTTTAAAAGTTCAAAAGTAAACTGGTAAATGTGAATGCCATTGTTAATTTCGCACAAATAGTAAAGAAACTGGCATACTTGATGGCTATAACATAGTACAATTCCGGTAGCAGTCTCACACCTAAGTTTAAATAAGCTTCGTTTGAAAAAAAAAGTAATTTGGATGAACTCATTAACATACTGACTAAGGCTGAAGAAAGATCTATGATCCAAATTTGGTTTAGGATCCAAGATCTGAACATCAAGACAGGCACAATCTGGAATCCACACCATAATTTACAGCTAATCCATGATCCTCTGTGTTTTCAAAATCCATGAATCTGCTTGATTTACCGCAAAAATAGACAATCCGTGTGCTTTTTAAGGCCAAATCCGTTGATCCGAAAACCTATTCACCCCCCCTCTTTGATATACATTTTCTTTCTTCAAAAAGCACTTTGGAAGCTTACAAATGCAAAGAATGTACCAAATTAACGACAACTGAATGCTGTACTCATGAAATTTTTTTTTTTACCTCAATGGTTGACAAACAGTTGGAATCAACAGTCAAATGGTGTCATCTCAATGAGTGGGATAAACACAGATTTTTTGTCTTGAAGTCCAGAGTCATTTGATTCCACAGTTGCATGTTTATCTTTGATGAGTAATAGACATTTGAATCAGTGATTCCAAGTGTTTCTTTTGCCTTGCCAGACAAAGAGCATGATAATAAAAATTATTAATGTCCAAATTATTTGTCTCAAAAGGCACAGATTTTAAATTATTTGCCTCCACGGGTGAAGAATTCATCTGTAAGTGCAAAGAATCATTTGATTTCACAGTTGAATGCTTCACTTCAAAACAGCTGAGTGTGTACATGAGTATGATTGTCA